TTACATGGAAATATTTACAGGAATGTTCTATTTGCTTAATTTCCTGTTAATCAAGCAGCGCTTTATCATAACACTACAGAGCTTTTATGCATTTTGGATGGTTGTTACAAAACTAAAGCACAATACGTTGCAGGTAAAGATTTCACTATAAATAAAAATCAGTAGTGTCATGTGGCACTAATATACCAGTATACATGATGTATCACCCAGCATTAATAGGATTCATACAGGGGAAATTTCTGTCCTTACTTTATAAATTTCACTTGACTTTTTTTTTTCGCCCCAAACCCTCATTAAGTACTGTACTGTGGTGTATTATGCAAAGGGTAAAGCCCTCTCTGTCCCTTTCAGGCCTGACCATCTTAACAGTCATGTGCGGCAGGTGCACTCCACAGAGAGGCCCTTCAAGTGTCCGGTAATGCCAGCACCTCCCTTCTCTCTGTCATTTTTTCCCTCTATGTCTCTTTTTCCCTATTCCTTCTCTTTCTCCATTGCTATTTTTGCCTGGTTTTACTTTTTCAGCCTGCCAAACATCTTGAACACTCTTTATTTCTTTTTATTTCTTCTTATGTCTGTCTTGATATTCCTTTCTGATGTCCCTCTGTTTGCCTGTTCTGTTTCACAGTCTTGTTTACTGAATGTCCAGAACATCTGACTTCTCAATGCAGTGCATTAGCCAGATGGAGTCTCTTAGTGCAGGTCAAACTTGTCAGGAGTGCTACTGCATTTACTTCTGTTTGTGTTTATGCTATTGAGGGCATATGTGTTTGCTTTAGTGTTAATGTGCAGGATGTGTAGACTAAGACTGCATAGAGAATTGTCATCACCATGAGTTTCCATGATGAACAAATTGCAAATCACAGCATTAACAGAATTGCTCCAAATACATATATTATTTTCGATTTTGTATTTTTGTCATTTTTGCTGTTTAATTAAAGATTACAGTGATGCCCTTTAAATTTCAAATAAATTTCAAATAAAATCAAATAAATTGGTTAATCACACATTCCAAACAAACTCCTACTTACCAGCAAGTTGCTCTACATCCAATCAAAGATACTACATTTTTTTTTTTTATCATTCACTACTTTCCATATCATTACATTTTATGTGTATATTGTGCAGCCATATATGCCTGAAATTTGTTGAGGGAATGATTCATATGTAGTGTATGTGCATTTGAGAGTCAGAAAGAGATGCAGTACAATGAAACTGAGTGTTAAGTACATTGGGGTAATATTTACAATATACCTAAGAGAGGGGCTAAGAAACTCTCTCCTACCTTTTGCAGACATGTGAATCTGCATTCGCCACTAAGGACCGGCTGCGTGCTCATATGATCAGACATGAAGACAAAGTTCCCTGCCACATTTGTGGCAAACTGCTCTCTCCTGCTTACATCACAGATCACATGAGGGTCCACAACCAGTCTCAGCACCATGTCTGCCACCTGTGCAACCGCAGTGAGTTTCAGTCCCACTTCAATGGCTCTCATTTTTTTTTGCTTTCCACTCTTACATGTTCTTCTTCGTGGTTTCCCTGCATTTTCTTTAGCCTTTTTTCTAATTAATATCTCCTTCATTATTGGCCCATGCATTGGCTACTTGGCCAGTAGAGTAAGATAGCTCTCTCTGGGTGGGCAGGGTGGCTCTCCGTCTTCCCCAACCTTCAGCACAACATTAGCCAGTGCGGCCGTCTGTTAGCTGACGTAACAGTATTGGCAGTTCTCAGTTCTCCCCCAAACGTATTGAGCTGTCCAATGATGCTATGTTAGTGGCAAGACAGATGCAGTGATGCATCATGTGTAGCGGAGGAAGCACATGCTAGCTTTCACCCTCCTAGCTTGGTAGTATTGTGTGATTTGGGCAGACCTAGCTAGTGCATGGCAACGCCACTGACTAATTTAATTTAATACTTAAATTTTGGAAATAATTAGATTTGCCATAACTTGTTAACCCTTTTTTCACCACATTTTTACTTACAGTGTCCTTGAGGCTGAAGCTTCAGCCCTACTATGAAAACAGTTGCTAAGAGAGCTTAGTTATAATAACCTTAACAGATAGTAATGCTAAGTAATAGCAACAAGCCATTAAGCCAGCTACAATGGAGTTTTAATTTGCAAACTTTTTTCATTGGGGACAAATAAACATTGTTCATGTTCTTGGTTAGCAACAGCTCATAAAAACACTATGCTCATCTCACTATTTTGCTGAAAACATCTTGCAAAATACTCACTTAAAATGTTAGATAAAACTAATAGATTAGAGGGGACCAATTTGTGATATAAAGGTCTTTGCCCAGCAAAAAAGGATGAAGTTATGGTTGTGCCTTGAAGTTAAATGACCACATTTATGGATTTCTAAGTAAATTATTTAATATGCTTTGTTTTTCCTATTGTTATTCAGGTTTCACCACGCTGACATACCTGCGTGTCCATGCTCAGAAGCACCACGGGCAGGAGTGGAAGGAGAGCAGCGTGGGCCGTGGTACGGGGCCCGGTGGTGTGTTGTTGTGCCAACTATGTGGAGTTCACTGTAAGACCCCCACGCAGCTCCAGGGCCACATGGCCACACATGCCAACCAGACGGACCCTGCTGCACCTAGCCCCATCAGCAGCAGTGCAGGCGGTACGGTGGCCACCGCCACTCCTGTCTCCAGCCCTCCAGCAACGGTGGGCCTGCTGGTAACTGACTGCTCCAGCATCGCTCCCCAGAGCCACAGCTAGCCCCAGGCAACTGGGGCAGGGATGGGGAGGGGGCAGGGGGCAGGGCTTTCAAAAGAGTGATAAAAGGGATGCAGAACACTTGAATAGGAACAGGTAATGTTTTCCTGTGTGTTTCACAGATAAATGCTCATGTTTAAGTTATTTGGAAACCTAGTTAGCTTAGTTACCAGTGTATATCATATTCGGGTTGCTTCAGATTTTGGACAAACACACAAAATAAATAACTAAATAAACAACAAAATGTTATTTCTGGAAAACTGTTTTGTCTTGTTAGTGTTTACAGTACTTTATAAGATTCTCTTTGGTGTATTTTTAAAGGGGAACTTCACAGATTTTTCAAAATTTCTGCATAGCTAAAAGGTTGAAATGTAAACAAAGCCATTCAGAGTGATTTGATTTCAAATGGTTCATTGTAGAGAAACGTAGTGACTTAGATTTCTTTACAGTGGTGGTGATGGGAACCAGAGGTCACAAGGTCTACAGCACACATGTAGTCATTTAATTTACTATTCAGAACCACCAGTGTATCTACATGTCTTCTGAATTTTCATATGTGATGTATAATGGTAAAGTCGGCATTAATCTGGAAAAAAAAATGTTTTTTTGCCTTAGAACGCCCTGCTTGCACCTCTCCACCCCACTAATCTGAAAATATACATATCAGATGAAAATCTTATTCCAAAACTATAGTGAAACAATATCAGATACATCAGACAGCGTATCCATAATCATTTTTCATGTAATAACCTTCGAGTTTAATGCTTTTAGAGGCAATAACTCCTCAGACATCTGGTTTCTGTCACCAGCACTGTGAACAATTCTGACTCTAGTTTCTCTAGAACAGAGCATTTCACACCAAACCACTCTGAATGACTGTTTACATCTTAACCATTTCATTATACTAAAATTTTGAAAAATCAGTAGAGAAGCAGAACAGAACTGTCTAATCAAACAAGCTGTGTAAAGTTTGTAATGCATTATTTTTGCCTAGAGTAGCCTTACTAAGGAAGCATGGAGTTGTCATCTTTATTAACACAAACTTAACAGTGTGATACATTTGGAAAATATTGTTTGGAAAATATAATACTGCCCAGTAACATAACTAATTCCTTTATTTCTCTTTCCACTAGGCTATTATGAAGATGCCAAATGGAAAAGGTACATTAGAAACTCTGCCCCCTCCCCCCTTCCTTGCCACCTCATAGCTTGCCAGACTTTTTATCAACAAGGCTGAAGATTTTGGAGCAGAAAAATTCAAGAGGTCATCCACTCATTTCAACAGCTCACAGACTTCTAACCAGTCTTGCAAGGATTCGTTTTTAGGGTTGATCCGCTCCAGTAGATGGACTGACTGTTCCATGAAGATTGAATGGACTGCTGTGTTGGGTGTTGAGATGTCATCTCATTACGTCAAGCGTGTCCCAATGGAGAGCTCCCAATGAAATGAAGGCTGTTAAGTGTTGTCCCATTTTATTATAACATGTCTCTGGTGACGAGGATCTTAGAATGTTGAGGCTAATTATGGTCTTTAGATATCAAGCAGCTTCCCAAATCTAAACAGCCTCCACTATTCGAGCAAAAGTAGTATAATGGTTTTTTACATGGTCCTTACATTGTATTCCAACACATTTAAGCTGCCTCTCTGAATGATCTCTGCAACTGTGTGATAGGGGATCAAATTCTGTACCATTTCCTGTCATAAATTCCTGATGCCTGTAAAAGGTTCATTCAAAGTGAAATGTACAACGAGGAGTTACTTGTATTGTTTCTCATGCGTGTGGATATAAGGGACTATCGTTGAGTATTTTTTATTTCCAAGAATTCTCATTGATGTTGATTTATCTTTAAAGGTTCTGACCGAGGATGTGAACAAGGTTTGATGTTGCTTAAGAAGCTGCATAATGCTCTATCCTTGACCACGTTTGTGTTGAAGCTTGTTGAACGCCAATCTTTGTTGCTGTCGCTGTAATAATATCTAATTAATCAATGTACAAAAAGACGAACTTGCATCTAATTATACTTACTTTAACAAACTCTGTGCTACGCCGTTCAGTTACATGCTGAGCTGAATGGAGAGGGGGTGAGCCGTTGTGAAATTAGACCGTTTTTGCGCTGTACACGTCTGATCTCTGCTATCTTTTGCTATTTAATGTCGTGAAATGTATCCCAAACACAAAAAACCGCTCAACGATAGGAATGGGCAGTGAATGGTTAAACGTCGCCTCCTGCCTTGTTTACGCCGGTGGTCCTACCCTCCCCCATTCTCTCCTTTTCACTTCGCATCCATTCCCCAACTCCTCCTTCTGCCACTGTTTCAAACAGCTGATTTCAGAAAAGGAGAAGGCGAAAGGCATAGCAGGACTGAGGGGAAATACTGCGACAGCGATGGAGAACACCGGCCGACACGCATCCATAACGCCTCTCTTGGCTGATTAAAGCCGGACTGCTGCAGTGCTGCCTCTACCAGCGGAGTTGCTTTGAAGCGAATTTGCTAAAAGCTAACTTTGCAAACATCTGTAGCTTAGTTAGCTTGTAGGGAGCTAGTCCTTTCAGTCTTTCCTTGTTGGAACAGTTTGCTCCAAGTCTCGTGGATTGTAGGTTTTAAACTCGCTGTCTCTCTACTGATTTACCGAAGACCCGGGGCTTGCGATGTTTTTTTCGGAAGAGGACCCGATAAACAACATATATAGGTCGCGTTGCAGTTTAATTAGCCGGCTAACCTAGCTAGGTAACAGCTGGTGGGAGCCTAGGCTAGCTAAGTGCTGCTGCTATTGACCGGGGTTCATCAGTTTCCTCCTTCAGCGAAATATCAGGGATTTCTTGTAGCTAATCTGAAGCTGCAAAGTAAGTCGAAGTGTAAGACGTAGCTGGCTAGTCAGACAGCCCTGATGCAGGAGATAGGTCAACTAACCTACCGCTGACGACTGGTTTCGTTTCTTTCCTGCTGAGCTAGTTTGTTAGTTGTAGCTACTAAGACCGTAGCGAGCCAGCTAACGTTAGCTAGCAAACAAAGATGATCGGAGCGGAGTGAATCGACTCCCAGACGTCTCATTATCTGCAAAATAAGCCAAATAAGTATTCACCTGCACGCATTTCAGTACGTATTGATCGTGCTAGTTTCATGCAGTTAGTTATTTGTACGAACTTTACAGTCGTTGCACGGTGGTGTGATTAGCTGACTAGCTAGCTTAACTTGGCTAAACTGCTGTTCAGGGTTTGACCAAATAACGTTAGATGTCTGTATATCGTTAAGATTATTTTGTCTTTTTTGCTTCAGGATACAAGCGGAAAACGCCGTCTGTAATGATTTAGTCCAAGTAAAATCATAGCTACCTCATCAAGCCCATTAGCTAGCTAAGTTAGGTTAAGCTAATCGAGTTGTGTGTCCAGGACTCTGTTCCAGCAGGTTGGATTTATCCATCAGCGTTTACGTAAATCGGTTGCTTTTCAGTGCGAGCTTGAGCCTTAACGTGCGCGCATCTTAATCTTATTTACTAAAATACTTTTTACGTTTTAATGGGATTAATAAGCATAGCTGCACATCGCCAAACCAATTCGTCGGCTGGCTTGCTCTAATAGAATGGCATTCCATGGGTCCGCTCGGCCAACCGTGTGTGGTAACGTTAACTTGTTCCCTGGATCGGAGTTAGGCCACAAGTATTTCTGTGTGAACAGCACGACTGGCTCTACCTCCAGTGGCCTGAGCGCGACCCAGAACCCAGCTGGGCCGGAGCAGCCCGCAGGAACTCCTAGACACCCGGCATCTCTCGGCGGAAGCACAGGCGGAGGAGCCGCGGTCCCGCAGCCTCACAGTAACCCGGCCAGTGAGGTACCGAGTCCGGCTGAAATGGAGCCTGATCGACCAATCGGTTATGGAGCCTTCGGCGTCGTGTGGTGAGTACAGGTTTTTGTGAAGAGAGTGATTCCACGATTCAGGTTAACATCTCGTGCTTTAAGTATGTCTTGAGTATTTAACACTCATAAAATATTGTTCTTCAAGGTTTCTTTAGTAAAGAGAATGGTTCTCTTTATAACCATGAGTTCTATATATAACTATTTTCTGCCTAAATGTTTTTTTCGTAGTGAAATGGCTCTTCAGATTGATTGAGAATGTGTTGTATATGGTTTTATATAGAATCTCTTTAAAAAGGATTATATATAGCACCAAAAAGCGTTCTTCTATTGTCAGAACACATTTAAATCCATCAATCTGAAGAACGTTTTCAAGATGCAAAGACCCCCTGATCTTGTAAATGGTTCTTTGATTGTTCTTGGCTCTATTAGAACCATTTTCTTTACTAAAGAACCCTTGAAGAACAGTCCTTTTTCTAGAGTGCATTATAGATTATGGAAAAAAGGACATTTTACTTGTGTTGACATTACCTGAACATATTCAGTTCTATGATATATTTGGACTCTTCCAAAGTCGCATGTTCAACAGGAGTTTGCATCGCCTGAAATTCTAAAAGGAAATATGAAAAAGTTTTATCTTATTTATTTTCATTGATATTAAGCAGTTTGGCTCAATGGTTCGCTTTGAAAGTTAAACACATTACATTATGGGGTGAAAATAAATTATTAATTTTAAAACATTTTAGGTAAAGCACTAGCTTGTCATTAATGTCCTTTTTCTGTGAGCATGTATGCTAGTTACCGTTTTGTGTATTTGCTAATTTTATACAAAAAAAACAACAATGTTGCTTTTAAGCTTTGTCTACAAAGAAACCTTGTAGAAAAAAAAGATATATTGTTTCTGAGATGTTAAAGTTAATGCATTTTTCTTTGAATAGTTGGGTGCCTGTTTTCCTAGACTTTTTGACAAATGATTTAAAAATCAAATTTTATTTTTGAGAGTTACAAGCTCTAAATGGCACCCCAATCATGGACTCGCTCAAGTAACACCTAACCTGGTTATTAAAGTAAGTACACTCTAATGTTGTATACCTCATCATGTGGACTTTCACCATTGGTAATGTGCCTCTTCCCACCAGGTCAGTGACAGACCCTCGGGACGGGCGGAAGGTGGCCCTGAAGAAGATGCCCAATGTCTTCCAGAACTTAGTCTCCTGTAAGCGCGTCTTCAGGGAGCTGCGGATGCTGTGCTTCTTCAAACACGACAACGTGAGTTTCAGGTTGAGAGGTTGTAGAAAGGATAGAGGGATGGATGTTATGTCCTTTCACATTGCTCATCCTACAGTTTCTCACGCCTGAGTCATAACACCCTTCATACGTTCAGCAAAAACATTGATCTCCCTTTCATGTTAAATAGCCTACAGATTCCCACACCTGAGTCATAGTACCCTTCATACGTTCAGGAAAGACATTCATGTCCCTTTAATGTTGCACAGCCTACAAATTCACCTTCATGTGTTTTTAAAGGACATATTATTTATCATATTATTTATTATTATAAAGGACATATTATTTGCTGTTTTTGAAATGAACAGAAGTTGCTCTATGGTATTCCATTCAAACCTGGAGCTGGTCTCTAAATATCTTGTAACATTGAGAGCTGCAGTCATATTTTATATTAGGATGGTGTGATGTGGAATAGATGTGAAAGATGTTTGCTTTGCTATTCATTCTCATTACATGTGCCCAACAACAGAACGCAGTTTGGTGGATGTTCATGGTTGATTCTTTTGGTGGGTGAAGTTTGATCATGTTGATTTGTGTTTGCAGGTGTTATCTGCTTTGGACATTCTGCAGCCTCCACAGATTGACTGCTTTGAGGAGATGTATCCTTTACACATTTAGTGTCACTAACCTTTAACTAACCTATATATCCAAAGGTATCCAGACCAGAAAGCTTAGGTGAGCATATAGCTGTAAATATTTGAACTTACTGTGTAATTTAAGGTTAGAAGGAACATATTCACCTTTGCTGTCACTCCAGCTGTATGACCTGGATATTGTATAGCGATACATATGTTGCTTAACTGTAGTTGAACTGTAGATATGTGATCACGGAGCTGATGCAGAGTGACTTGCACAAAGTCATAGTGTCCCCTCAGCCTCTCACCACTGACCACATCAAAGTGTTCCTCTACCAGATACTCAGGGGTGAGTGAGAGTGAAGCCTGGGGTGGGGCTGGGTTTATATAAAATAGCATGCTGGACCTGTTTGTGTCTGTGTTTGCCTCTTCAGAGAAGAGGTTATGAAAGTACTTTATTGTTCAAGTCTGGAGTACTTTAGCCTTTTGTTTCAGATGCATACTACATACCATTCTAATGCATGTATGATGTTAATATTCTGCAGTTTAATAGATTTCAAATCGTTTGTCAAAGTTAGCTACTAAATAGATGTGTTCAGAATGCTGAGAGCTGTAGACGATTCCATTGAGAGAGCTGTGTAACATTGAGAACGAACCTATTAATATACTTGCTGAATCTCATGTATATATATATGTATATATATGTGTGTATGTGTGTGTGTGTGTGTGTGTGTGTGTGTGTGTGTGTGTGTGTGTGTGTGAAAAGTGATTCCAAACGTTTGAATGGTAGTGTTGATGGTCATAATGTGCATAATGTAGTCAGTTCTAGGAAGTTTCTGTGTTCTGTCTTCGTTCTTTAAAGGCCTGACTTTCTTCATCATTGTGACCAGTTGATTTATTTTTAAGATGTCCTAACAGACCTTTGAAACAGTGTTGTATTTATTAACCTATTTGTTTAAATTAAGACTTAGGGAGACGTAATTACTTTTACTCTTTTTCAGGCTTGAAATACCTGCACTCTGCTGGTATTCTGCACAGAGACATCAAACCAGGGAACCTGCTGGTCAACAGCAACTGCCTGCTCAAGGTACATACTGGCTTATTAATGTTCTGGTAGTTCATCATTAATTTTTATTTACAGTCTTTTTCACCACTTTCCTTTTTTCCTTCTCTACTCCTTTTTTCATTTGATCAGATTTGTGACTTTGGATTGGCCCGAGTAGAAGAGCCTGACCCCACCCGTCACATGACCCAGGAAGTGGTGACGCAGTACTACAGGGCCCCGGAGGTTCTGATGGGTTCGCGGCACTACGGCCCAGCCATAGACATCTGGTCCGTGGGCTGCATCTTCGCTGAGCTGCTGGGCCGTCGCATCCTCTTCCAGGCTCAGAGCCCTATCCAACAGGTAGTGCATTGTGGAAGTGTGCATTATGTCAAAGTTGTAGACGCCTGCTCATCCAAGGTTTCTTCTGAAATCAAGGGTATTAATGGGGAGTATGTCTCCCTTTGCTGCAGTAACAGCCTCTGCTCTTCTGGGAAGGCTATACGCTAGATGTTGGAACATTTCTATGAGGATTTAATTGCATTCGGCCACAAGAGCATTAGTGAGATCAGGTACCGATGTTGAATGCATTGGATCTGCATCACAAACACTGCCCCAGCTCATCCGGAGGGCACTGGATGGAGCTCCGCCATTCCAGAGAACTTAATTGCATAGCTCCACAGCCCAATACTGGCGAGCTTTGTACTCCTCTAACTGATGCATGCCGTTGAGTTGTGACCTTAGGCTCATGTGCGGCTGCTCAAATGCATCCCATTCTGTTGGCGGTGCTTTTTCTGAAGAGGTTAATGTGTGAGTAATGTGTTATGTTTGAGAATTCAAGATATGAGACATAGTGGAGCATATCAGCGGGAAGTTTTCAGTTTCGATACACTGTTTTTAACCACTTTTTCTGATTTTCTTTTTTAGTGTATTGAAGTGCAGCACAGTTAGACAGTAGTTTCACACACACTTTTTCCCCCATTCTACTTAAAGCAAAGACCTAATTATACACTTGGTCACTATGCACCAGGGTGCACTGCTTGTCTCTGATTACTAACTTCATTTGTCGACAAAATTAGATGAACGAAGTAGAGTTTAGCAGCAAAATCCACATTAAGTGCTCTAGTATTATCTAATGTAGTTATCAAGGGAGGGCCTCTGGGAAAATGTTACATTTATAAAGAGTTTGAAAGAGCAAATAGGGGCAATTCATTTAGGGAATGGGTCTGGCACGATTAAAAATCTAAAGTATAATAAGGAACCTGCTGAAATTGTGTTTCTGTTCTTCACCCCCACATCTTTTGTTCTCGCTATCTGTTTTTAGTTGGATCTTATAACTGATCTATTGGGCACTCCTCCACTGTCTGCCATGGCATCTGCATGCGAGGGCGCTCGAGCACACATTCTAAGAGGACCTCACAAACCGGTAATATGTCTTGCTTTCAGTAATCTACTTTGCAAAATGTTTTTCTAATCTGCTTTGCTGTTACCTAGGCCGCACAGGAGCCGTATACCACTGTAACCATTTGCTGTTGTGATGCCTTTGCCTGTGATTAGATTGGAGGTTCTTAGGCACCTAAATGTTTTTCTGTTCTGTGGGCAGAGCTATAAACTGAGCAGTAAATCGTGAAGTTTTCTGTGCTGGTGCTGGCAGTATAAAATTAAGACCATGTCTGGGGAACAGAAAGTGGCAAGGGGCCAAGTTAGCTAAGCCAGACACTAGCTGTGCATCACACATTGGGCTGGTTTTCCAGATCCCTGGACTAAGTGGATTTTATTAGCCGCTTTTAATAATTAGCCCATTGAGAGTGTATGTTTTGGTTAAAAAGTATTTGTGAAAACAAACATTGGCCCAAGCGAATCTTATAACCTACACTGTGAATAAAAATCTTTCTCTGAGATGCCTTTAAAGGAACAACTCTGGCCAAAAATTGAAATCAGTGCTACATCCATTGTAAACATCCCTATTCTCCTCCTACAGTGGTGCTGCAGTAGTCTATAGAGTGAGATTTTCAGATTTAAAGGCTTATGATGTGTCTCAAACGTGGGAGAAACCTTTGAAAAACCGTTGATTTTTGGTGGCAGTCTGTTTTGAAATGTGTAGGATTTTTTTTGTCTGTGCCCCACTAGCTGGCTATTGCAGAAGAAAGCCAGATGGCTAACATTACTGCTAGGAAACAGAATGTCACATTATGTCGCAGTATTTATTGGCCTCAACATCAATGCATTTATTTATTACTATGTGGGTGCGTCATGCAATGCATATTGTAGAGAGTATTGTAGCGAGAGAACATTCATAAAAAATAAAAAATAAAAGATCTTAAAAACAACTTGAATTCTGTCAAGCCAATTAGGCTGTGCTACAGCACATTGCATGACATGACACTGGCTGGGTTTATGCCCCTTTAAAACACATTAGTGTTTAGTTGACATAAAATCAAATGAATTTCAGTGTTTAAGATCTAAACACAGTTTTTTTTTTTTCTGAATGTGTTTTCAGAAAGTATTGCAGAAAAACCTGAACTTTTGACTGTTTTTGCTCCTAGGGTATTGATTATTTTACAGATTGTGATTTTTACAGATTCCATGTTCTTGCTGAACATTTTAGATAGTCGAAATATTTGTGAGAACCTCAAGCAGCTCAATAACTTCATGCAACTTATTGAGAATGACACTGACTTATTGTTTGCTACTATTCACTTTTTAATTCCTTCTCTCACTCTCTTGTAGCCCTCACTCTCTGTTCTGTATATGCTGTCAGACGCGGCTACCCATGAGGCTGTTCATCTTCTGTGCCGCATGCTGGTCTTTGATCCAGTGAGTAAACACGCACCCCTCATTATCACCAGCTTCTGTGCTGATGGCATTCTTCATATTTGTGAGTCATTGGGTCTTGTGGGGAAATGGGCATCAGAGCCATCATTGTCAGTACCAGAGTTTGAAGTTGATTGCAATTAAAATGATGTTTTAGTTCATGTAGTATGCTAACGCAAACATTCTCATGTAGTCCAATAAAATAACATTTATGTGATGCTCATTATTAGTCGTTGAAAACATTGGTAAAAGTGGCTGTTCTCTTTTGATCATAAATGTTATGATGTTGCTGAATATTAGGGATGCAGCAGTCTTGGATTTTTGTAGCTTATTCTGATTCCATTTTTTTCAGAGCTAAATTTATTTTTTTATTAGCCTCAGAAAATCAATAAAAGCAACTATTTATTTACATTTACTCATTTGGTCAACAATCTTATCCAGAGTAAATTTTAAATTGTAAACAAGTTACTGAGAAATATTGTGTTACGTGTCTTGCCCGAGGTGTTTTATTGGTGTAGAATGGTGTCTCTACCAGTGTGGTGGATCGAATCCTAACGTGTTGCTTTGGGGGCAGTGGTATTACCAGTATTACCAACTGTGCAACACTGAACGCCTATTCGTTGGTATTTAATGGGTGAAACTTGAATTTAAATTTGTAAATAAAAAAATGTATTGCATATTTAAATTAAAAGTTGGAGGAAAGAGTATTATATCAGAAGTAATTCGGAGCAGTCCATTATTCATAATTATTCTGTGACATTTGGGTGTATAGGTGTAGCTGCAGCATTCAAATACGTTGAGTGCACTTACCTGCCTAACATAGTTTACCTCGTAAAATTACAGGTCAGCTAAAATCAAAGAAATAAATTGGAGCAAGGGGCTCCTGAGTGGCACAGCTGTCTAAGCAGCACCCCCAGTGATGCCACAGCCATTCGTGGCCAGGAATCCATGAGAGCATATTTGGCCTTACTCTCTCTCTGAGTGGGTTAGATGCCCTCTAACCTTGCAATCCCCCAAAAAAGTTTTGTTGTTGATCCTGATTTTTGTATTTATTTTTAAGTTCTGCTGTTAATTAACTGCAACTAGAAATGCTTAACATATGTCAAAACATCACAAATATTTGTCAATTCAAAAGTTACAGTATAGTACAATAGACGTCCCACAGTCTATATGAAGCTGCTGGCTTTGTCTTTGAAAATACGAATCCTCTTTGATCATAAAATGCTGTGTAATAGTTTGTTTATGTGTAAATAACGTGTGTTTGTGCGTGCAGGCTAAGCGGATCTCGGGCAGTGACGCTCTCTCTCACCCGTACCTGGATGAGGGCCGTTTGAGATACCACACCTGCATGTGTCAGTGTTGTTACTCGGTTCCCAGCGGCAGGGTTTACACCCGAGACTTTGAACCACCCGCCGAGCGGCCGTTCAGCCACAGCTACGAGGAGAGCATGCTCTCTGTCTGGCAGGGCAAAGGTGACTGGCCCTCTTTGTATCTTTTTGCTTTCTCTTTATTTTTGTGGTTCTTACCCATAGTTGTTATACATGTACACCCCCCATGCTGAACAAAATCTGGTGTAATGCTGACTGTACTACTCCAATCTGCCATTTTAACTTGAGTTTTGCTGGGGCAACAGAACCCTGTTAATCAAAGTGCACGATAAATGTAGTGTTTGAGATGAACTAATTAACCATCATTTTTGAATGCGTATAAAACCTCTCAATGCATGTGTACACAGGAAGAATGTGAAGGGATTAACACTTGAGGTGAAGGGAGCAGACAAATTCTTTGCCCTTTACATGAGAGCATTTTATGTTTTTGTTGTTAATGTTCATGGGTCTGTTTTCACTCTTTTTCTCTCAGAGCTTATCCATCGTTTCATCACAGAGCACCAGCAGGGCAAACGAGTGCCCTTGTGCATTAACCCCCAGAGTGCGGCCTTCAAAACCTTCATTAGGTGAGGAAGAGCGTAACGAGGGAACATGGATGGGGAGAAAGTGCAGATATATGCCATCTGCTGGTTGTGTTTAAAACAGAATTTTTCTATGAATTAAAACAGACTTTGTAGTCCTGTAGTCTTTAACTGTCAGTTAGTTAATGATCCTTGATATAGTGCCAAGTATAACTGAACATGGGGGTGACATTGTACTACATTGTACCAGCTGTAATGTGCATAACCTGCATTAATCTATGATTTGAACGCAAACAGTAAGAGGGCAATTGGACAGCTTTTCCTCCCTTTTGTAAACATTTTCTATTTGACATTAGGTTGCTTGACTGCACTTTAAGCATGTCTGTTTATTCTCTCTTTCTCAGATCCACTGCTTGGCATTCCTCAAAAGTATCCCGTAAAGAAGAGAGATGAAATGAAGAATCTGATTAAAATAGAAGGAGTAGTTCACCATAGGAACATGTGCTTGAGTTGACTGATGGGTTGCATTTGGTTGTGGCTGGATGATATGGGTCTGAAAGACTAGGCTTCAACACAGGAACATCCTAACATCATCCAAAAAGGAAAAAAAAACTAAAAAACAACTCAAAGAAAAGAACTACAGTACCCGGTTTTGAAGACAATATTTCCAAGTGACAATTAAAATATGCTGCTGAGAACATTTTTATACTGAGGATTATGAAAATAATGAATTTGTAAAGAAAAAAAAAACTTTTCGTGGATTGAACACAAAAACAGTTCTGATGAAAATGACACGTTTGTGTTAAAGAAGTCCCTCAGTGTTGTGCAATACCAATATCTGGGGATGGGAGGTTTTAGTATTTTGTGGGCTCCAACTGCCATTCAGAAACTTCTCACTGTTCCTTCATTCTCTGAGAGTCTTTGCTATGTTGTGTGTTCATGTAGAGGTTCTTGGGTAAGTAGTTCATGTTCCTATCACCATCCCTCTTCACTTAAGCTCTTCCTTTAGGTTGTTTAGTCTAAACCACCAGTCTTTCAAACGTTGGGTGGTTTCTGCTTAGCATTATGCTTTGAAAGTCTTTGTTTTTGCTTTCTTTTATGTTCTACTGCACTGTAGTTGCTTTTATACTCGCAATGCCACAGTTTTTACCTGACTTTGCCACTTGTTAAGTTTAGGATACAGATTGAGTACCGTAATTGAGGGAAACAGTGTCTGCAATCCTGAGAGCACATCCGAAAGCATGTGGGCTTTGCTTTCTCTTTAAATGAGGATGTGTCTCCTTAGTGACCTCCGGGTAAGGAAGTGCATAGTTCACTTAACTGCAATGCCGTTTCAAAGAATTTTAGTTTTTATGTCTTTTTAGTTTAACATTATTGTTAATTGTACTGTTCATTTGCCTGGTTGTCTGTCTAAAATTTGTTTTAGTGTTTTGGTGGGGGGAGGGCGCGGGGCGGGAGACTGGTGGAAGGGATGCAGTCTTGAATTGGACGTGTGTGTGTGTGTGTGTGTGTGTGTGTGTGTGTGTGTGTGTGTGTGTGTGTGTGTGTGTGTGTGTGTTCATGAGTGGAGTGTGTTTAGGAGACATGCAGTGTTGTGCTGTTCACATCCTCATTACCTCAGTAGATCCACTGTGCACTGACTGTGAGTGTGTTTAGACTAAACCCAGTTATTAACCATGTACTGTACAGGGGTCTGTGCTAATATCTACATTTGCAGAGCTACACCACTGAACCACTACCCCTACAACTCATTTATAAAATGATCTCAGTCTCTCTCACTGCGTTGCTCTTTAACAGAGCCCTGTTGGTGACATCCTTTCTTAAAGGGAAAATCCACAGTTTTACAAAATTTCTGCATAATTCAGTCACTGAGAAGTAAACGAAGTCATTCAGGGAGGTCGATGACTGACTTGGATGTTTTAACAGTGGTGGTGATGTCTACAATAGAAATATAGCTATTTACTATTAAAATGACCAGATAACTTAGAGGTGTCTTGAGTTTTTTATATGTAGTGTTGATCATGGTAAAGCAGTGAGGACTATTTTGCCTTACAGTGCATGTGCTTCTCTGCTATGAATGGGATAAAAAAGCTATGATTAAACATCTTGGGCATCTGGCAGCATATTAATAATTATTTTATGTAATAACTTTGTGAGGGAGCTTTTAGACGCAATAAGCACTTCAGACGTCTGGTTCCTATCACCACCACTGTGAACAGTTTTCTTTAGAACAGAGCATTTTACATCAAACCACTGAATTACTTTGTTTACATCTTAAAGGTTTAATTATGCAGACATTTTGAAAGATTGGTGGAATTCCCCTTTGATAAAAACAATTCATGGCCACAACTTAACAAGGTGTAGGCACAAGATAAGTTGTTTCTGTGCGTTACTACATGGTGGCCATGCGTTATTTTTTTTATTATGAAAGGATGTTAACAGCAAAGTCTCTCTCTCTCTCTCTCTCTCTCTCTCTCTCTCTCTCTCTCTCTCTCTCTCCCTCCCTCCCTCCCTCCCTCCCTCCCTCCCTCTCCTTTCTTTCTTTCTCACACTCTCACATTGGGGGCTTCGTGGCTGATGGTCTTGTCTCAGATCGCTTTTGGAGGAAAATGCTGCTTGTTCATTTGATTAATGTTTTTTTTTTTTCCACTTAAATTATAAACATTAAATAGTCTTGAGCTCAGGTTTCATATCACAGACTAGACTGTAAAACACGCAGGGACCCTCGTCCGGGCCGCGCCAGCGGCCGATTCCTGGTGCTGTTTGTGAAAAGACTCAGAAGTGCTCTAAAAGCTTGAGACTGTAGTGCATGTTGGCCACCACCGGGTGGCAGTACGTACCCGATCGCACAGCGCACTGGCGGACTGCTCCTCAAGAATGTCCCCACAAATGGATCCGCATGTGTATATTTGCTTTGGGATTTCCAGTTGCAGTACTTCAGGAGTTTGATGATTTTACAGAAAAGAAAAAAAAACTACTTTGTGATGTTATTTAATTTGATCATAGGAAAAATATTGAGTTTTCTTCTGCGTTTGTCAGTGTATTGTGACCAATTTTGGATTTTTCGTCTGTTTTTATTTCTTAAGGTTATGTTGTTTGACCACTTTGCCGTTGTGTTGGTAGAAGATCTAGCAGTGTAGTGACATGAAGAGAAACGTTGGGTCTGGTTTTCTTGTTCTGACTGCCGACTACAGAGTGGAGAAGTTTCGATTAATGGTGAGATTTGCATTAGTCATGATCATAGAACTTAGACATTTTATGATGAAACAGAATACTTGATATTTTGTGTTAATGACTATTATGACTATGGTAATATTGAGAACTTGTTTTAAAAGATGGTTGTTGATTATTTGTTGGTTGTTTTTCATTTAATTTATTTTTTGTCATTGCATTTAACTGAAAATGTTTTTTTTTTCCCTTCGACTTTTGTGTTCACAACAAATACTTGAAATTTTTAAGAAAAAAGGGTGGCGTAGGGTGAAATAGTCAATAAAGAGATAGACACTGGAGACGGCGTGCCTCGTCAGCTGACTAGTAGTCACTGTGCTCTGTTTGTAGAATGGCTCTTTTTTAAAGGGGTTGTCAGAGTTTTAGGGGGGACAAAGGGATTATTTAGGAGAGTGGATTCAGATAAGAGTCCGTAGTCCGAACCTTTTAACCTGCTATTACAGAAGCTAGAGCTCACTGAGCAAAGCAGGTCAATAACGACTATGCAATCAGACCACATATACCTGAGGAAACCTAAACAAAAGACGTGTAATCGTGCACCGAGGAACAGATTCATTGTTTGGACCAGTGAAATCATGGGCACATTTAGTATTACTTTTGATGATATTCACCTGCTCATCCAATATTTCTTTGAAATCAAGGGTATTAATAAGGGAGGTTGTCCCTCTGCTTCAGTAAAAGCCTCTATTCTTCTAGGAAGGCTTTACACAAGATGTTGGAACATTGCTGTGAGAATTTAATTGCATTCAGCCACAAGAGCAGTAGTGAGGTCATGTACTGATGTTGGATGATCAATTTTGGATCTCTCCAGTTCAGCTCAAAGGTATTGGCTGGTCCATCACTCAAGAAAACGCAGTTCCACTGCTCCACAGCCCAATGCTGGGGGGCTTTACAGCTCTGTAGTTGACGTATGGAATTAGGCATGGTGACCTTAGGCTCATGTGTGGCTGCTCATTCTATTGGTCAGTGCTTTCTTTTGGAGATTATACAATCTGTATGCACAGTTGCACACCTGTGTCAGCAGTTAATGCTCCCTCAAGAGCTGAATTAGAAGGGGTGTCTGGATACTTTTGGACAGTGTATTTTGAGCGGTATCTCCTCACAAACTGCTGCCCATCTGCCAGATTAGAAACTACATTAGAAAGGTAAATGTTGCTTGTAGATAATCTGCCATTGACTGTCATTCGGCATCTTGTCAACTACATTTCTGTCAATACAAGTCAACACATTCCTGATAATCACATAAAAGCACCCTGACATTGTCTGTTTTAAGAAAGGCATGTCAATAATCAGCTTTGTTAGAAACAGTAATCTATTTATTCTACTTTGGCCTGAGAATGACCTTAGTAGCATGTAGAATCTGACACCATATCAAACACATTAGTTTACAAATTTGGGACAAACTTGTACTGATCCACACCCCACCACCCCCAAAAGTTAAAGTCGCTGCAATTAAATTTGAATGGGAATTAAAATTTAATAACAATAAATTTAGACTAAATATGTCATGTTCCTGCAATAAATTTCATTCCGTTAGTGAAATATAGTTCCATGATTTCGAGGCCTTTTTGCACAAAATACAAAACAGTATGACCCAATGAGTCAAAAGTATGTGCAGCCTTATTACATGGCTTAAAGTGTTGAACAATATCAAGCTAATATTTAGTTATGAATGAAAGTACAGTAATATTATATTACAAATCTTAATTCCAAAAATTGTCCATGCCAATTTCAAATGACTACAATAAGTCACGTTCTGCATGATCAGAAAGTCCAGGTCCTAAACTGCCCTGCTTGCCTGAGAAACATGTCTCTCGTTGAAAACGTATGGCACACTATGAAGTGCAAAATATGACAATGCAGACCCTGTTCATTTGCGCACCTGAAGATTTATATGATAAAGCAATGGCAAAAAAATTCCACTTTCTAAATTTGATCGGTTGGTGTCTTCAGTGTTGCTTAAAGGAAAGGGGATGTAACACAGCGGTAAACATGCTCCTGTCCTAACTTTTGGAACATGTTGCAGGTACCAGATTTGGAATGAGCGTATATACGCCAAAAAAATACAATTGCAGTCATTACAAAAAACATCCAATGTTGTATTTTTTATACTTTTATCAATGCATAAGCGTTTCACATACTTCCACAGCTTTTTTAGGAACTGAAGTTTGTATGTCTGGGAAATTAGAAAGAGTAAAAGCTAGATTTGTTTTGCAGTACTCAAGCAAAGTGTTTGTGTTGTGTTTTCTGGCAAACCAGGACTTTCTTTCCAAAGACCATCCTGCATGCATATACTATACTGTATAAAATGAGGTCTCATTAGCAGAAGAGTCACTGCAAATCTGGAACTGAAACTATGGGCTTGCTCAAAACAAGCATTGTAAGCAACAATATTTGGATAATAATTAGATTGCAAAATTACTTGGATTGCCTAATTAAAGGTTGCTGAAATAACAATCAGTAGCCACTTATAAATAACATTTAAATAAGGGTTAATTCCTATGTAATTACACATGGATTAATTGTATACAATGAACTATTTTGTCCTTTTGTTTTAATGCATATTTTATGTAATTACATAAATGTATTACATATATATATATATATATATATATATATATATATATATATGTTAGAAATATATATGTAATTGTAATGTACTTACTATGGTTAATACATTTATAGGTACTTACACGCACTCACCGGACAATACTTAACGATCGATCAACCCTTCAGTTATCCATTAAATATTGTAATGGCAACTAAGACGAAATACAAGCAATAAACAGTTAACAAACGCTTGTACTATCAGGTCACTTTGTTTTGACTTTCCATTGGATGCGAATGTTGCCAATCAAAAAATAAACCAATAAGTGAAACGCAAGGAGGCAACATTCGCACCTCTCAGCCAATCGTTGCTCGCCTGCCGGTAATCGCGGCGCAGATTTAAAAGTGAAATGAAGCTCGTCAACATATTTTAGCACAGAGACAGAAGATAGTTAATGCGACAAATCCGTATGCCGAGGCGTGATCAATGCAGCGTAAGGTAAGACTATTTTAAATCAAGTTTTGTATCAAGCAGAATTCACTACATGCATGTTTCCTTTCAACAAACCTAAATCCAGTAACAGTTAAGCTGTTCCTAGCATGGCTGCTCTGGCTTTCAGACCAATTTCATGAAGCTGTTTAGGCAGCTAGGTTAACGTTTAGCGTCTGAGTCATTTTAGCTGCGAAGATTTTGAGTCATGTTGCCTAACGTTAGCTATCAAAATAATAACTAGGGAGATGGCTAGTTAGGTTTCGTGCACTCATTTCTAATCATTTCGCATTAAACCCTGCTGTAAAATGTAGTCAATGTTTAGTTTGTACAGAAAAAACTGATAACCTACTTGCCTTTCTATTCACCTTGTCTGCGCAATCCTCATTTATTTGATTCTGTATTTGCACAAGTTTTACTGTCAAATGTGTCTGATGGGGTACACACATCTTATATTAACATAATCTCGCTTCTCCCGTGTCACTGGCTTTGTTAGCATTTCAGTCGAGAGAGAAAAACAATCACTGTCATAACTAAAGCTACGTAAGCTAGCTAACTATCTGCTTCAAGCTTTAAAAAGTGGAGCAATTAACCTATCCTACCTGCTCGAAGTGTCTAGCTAGCTAACTTTAGCGCAGTAGTTTATTAGCATATCTCCTCGCTAACCTAACTAGCTTAATGCTATGTTTAAAACAAACCTGACTGCAGTTATCTGCTTGTATGTTTTGCTTCAGTCGTTACTGGGCTAGCGTTAGTTAGCATAATTAACATTTCTATTCGCTGACACACTAGCTAATGCTAATTGTCCGTTCCACCTTAAGTGAACAGTCTACAGAATGTAACCGCTGCATCATTTTAAGGTGGAACGGGAAATTCGAATGACGCGCCGGCGAATAGAAAACCAACTCCAGCTTCGTTAGCTAGCCGGCTATCATGCCGCGATATATAACGTAAATCACTACGGAAACACCATGAGTGATGGGATGGGGCCGTGAGCTCGTTGTCAACCACGAATTATTAATGCTGAAAAGGCTTCGTGTAAGTGGGAAAGTGGTCGAATAGAAGCAGTAGGGGTCGTTGGATGTGACAAAAGCTAGGTGGGTTAGCCCGCTTTTGTTTGTTTTGGGAGAGTCTGTGGAGGCGGTGGGTTAGCTTGCTTGCCAAAGCTTTGCTCTGTTGGATGCTGACAGTGGGAAAGAGTCACGTTGTCTCAGCGCTCACTCCTAGCTAGCTTTGTAACTTGGGGTGCTTTTTATTTGTCTCTCCTTCAGCCAAGCTCTCTGGAATCCACCTGATAAATATCTGAGAAAAAACATGTGGACGGTCTTTCGGATGCCTCCTGGACCTCGCCATACGCTTTCCTCACGGCTGTGACAGGACTCGAGGGCCTGAAAGGACGCCGCTCCGCTCCCATGTAAATGTCCGCCTCTCTGCTTTTGGCATGCGTCTCTCCTCCTCTGCAATACCGCCCTGCCTTAGTCTGACGACTCCAGCCTTTATTTTAACCCGCTAACCTGATGATAGGTGGAAGAAAATGCCTTTTAACGTCGTATTGGCTGAATCCTGTAGTAATTTAACCTCGCTGGATGAGCATTTCAGAGCACGGGGCCTCAGTTTATTCACATTTAGGCTCCCCGCTTTTCTACTTGATTTGCTTTAAATTGTTTTCAACTGGAGAGAAGAAACAGTCTTATTCCTGAGATGCTCGGAGGCGTTTTAGTCTCTAGCTGAAACGTATATTGTGTGTGATCTGCAACCTGTTAGCCGGCAGTGTTGAAAAGGTCCCTTTGCACCACGCGCTGCTGGACTGATGGAGTGGCAGTGACACAATGGGAAGGACTCAGCTAGGTTAGCCCGCTAGCAGGCTAGAAACATAGCAGCGTGCGTGGTACTTATGAGCTTAGCTCAAAAGGCGAAGGCCAGCATGTGTCATTTTATTAATAGTGTCCGCTTCTATTATCACATTATCATCATCTTTTTGTTAGCCAGTGATTCGGTGGGTAATCAGTAGCACTCTGTGACCAGTTGGACGTAGCTTAGCTAACAGTGTTGTATAATAATTTCACAGCAAATTGTTTTAAGGTGGCGCGATCTTATGTTTTGATGGTATGCGTTAATTTAGCGTCATGCTGCCACGAGGCTTAAGTGGGCTTCATATTTGCCAGCTTCTTATCAGAATTTCTTGGTCCACCTTAAATGGTGCGTCTACGTGAAAAATGTACAGGCGCAGGAATGCAACTGCTGCACCGTTTAAGGTGGAACGGAAAATTCGACTAAGAAGCCAACTTCATCTTCGTCACACTGCCCACATTGGCCATGCTTCCTCGACGAAATCGTCTGTAACCTCTGGCTGAAGCTGTCCGTCTTGTCAGATCAGCAGCGTGTACAGAATGAAGCAGTCCCATCCACGCAGAAAGACACAAGCAGTACAAGTCGATGGCTGCTTGCGTGTTTTGCTCCATCAACTCTCATCATGTTAGCCCACATCCCTTCAGGACGTTTCCAACTTGAGTGCCGCATTTTTGCTGTGCAATTCATAAGATGTTTGTCAGCTTGTTTGCATATGTTTCTTTGTCGTACGTGTGTTTTATTGACCTTTTGTCGTACTGTTGCGGGCAGAATCCAGAGACCTCCATCTATGGTCCTGCTATAGCGGGGGAACAATACTGTCCCTGTCCCCCCTCCTCTCTCAACAATGCCCACCCTTTTCTGGCTACTGTACCACTGAATACCATCACCCCTCCACCCCCATCCCACCCCATCCCCTTTCTTTTTCTCTCTTCCTCTGTCCGTCTGGCCGCCCTTCCACTCCCCGCAGTAATCTTTCTAAATCTCCGGCTTGCTAATCTTTTCTGAATCTATTTTGGTAACACCCTCCCTCTTTTATACTAAATATGGATTAGACAGGAGTCCCGAATCAGACTCTGTAGTAATTAAAGAATTAGAATCACTTTTTTGACCTTGGTTGCACAAACAGGTCATTTTAGTGTATTTGTTGCTGCCTCTAATATATAAATATGTAGCATACACTGAAGTGCAGTGATACAGTGAAGATCTAACCAGTAAAAGAGTAAAACAACTTTTTGTTGCATGGTCTTCAATGACTTGAGCAGAGTAACAAAACACATTCAAACAAATGCAAAATAAAATCTGTGAACTTTTGCATCAGTTCTTTTTGCATGCGAAAAAAATGGATGAGCAGTCCTCCTGAAAGAAAGTACAAAGAAAACTCAAGAAATACAAATAACTATTGATACACACCATTTTAGTACTCTCTTTGTAATTTGTAGGTTGTTCTGTTGTCTTTTAATGTAAAATAGTAATTGTTGAGCCACTAAATGCTTGAGCTTTTAAACATAAACAAATAATATTTTTGTAATTGTACATTTATTACAGTGTACTCATCAGTATCGAATGCTAGAAGCTATCACTAACAAGCATGACCAAGAATATTAATGACTGATTAGTCATTCACGTCAGACTAATTGATTCAGGTGTGAAATTTGGATGTTTTAATATGCATCTATGGAGTCAGTATATGTGTTAATCTTTAAAAAAATCACCAGGGTATGTACCACACAGGCCAAATTTTCATAGTTTGAATTGAACCTAGGGCTGTTTTTCTTCTTTCTTTTTTTGTGCCACTTGTGGGTGACTGCGCCACATGCTGATTTATTTTGAAAAATTGGATTGTAATTCAGAGTGTTGTGCTCATGTCTCTAGGCGAATATTTAAGAATAGATGTTAGTCCTTCACAAGCTGATAGTGATCTTCATGGCTTTTTTCATAGTAGAAGAACTTTGTTGAATTGTGTGAGAAGAGCAGGGTAGCATTGGTCATTTACATGTAAATTACTTTTGTTAGCTACTGTTGGTTGTCCTAATACACCCCTCTGCATGCTCTAAAACCTGTGATTTTCCCTTTCAGAGATAGACAGAGAAGCAGAGAAGCACTGCAGGGACCATGCTCAGCATCCTAGCGGCCGGCTCCATATTCTTCCCAGGCCTTTTCCTGCTGTCCAAGCGATGCCTGAAATACGCACCCGGTCTGAGATGGAGCGAGGGCGACGCTGTCATCGTCTCTGCCAGGTACATTTCACCCTGTGCTAATGTAAAGGCTCTGTTTCTAGCCCTCCTTTCCCAGGTTAGCTTAAGCTAACTAGACTCTGGGTGTGCATCCTGAGTAGCTGGCTACCATCTGCAAGCAAACTGTAGTTTGTCTGTGATACAAACTGACATATTGATGATGCCAAGTGTAGCAGAAGGAGAAAATGGATTAAATGTATTAGTCATCAGGCATTCAGAACTGAACAGTAGGGCTTTATTATTGTTAAAGTAATCCCAGGATGCAGAATCTGTCAGTCTTGCATAATTTATGTGGTAAGTCCTTTTTACTGTGGCAGGAAACACATTGCCAGCCTCCTGAACTTCGCCCCCCTTGTGGATGTGAATTACTAGTGTAAACAAACTAACACGCATTGTTGAGCACATGCTGATGTTTATTTGCTGAATTTGACATGTTGGAAAAAAATAAATGTAAATTGTGGTCTATGTCAAGGTTATGGGATGTTTTATATAATGTTTTTTTTCCCCCCAATATGTTAAACTCAGTAAATGAATAGAAATTGAGCACTACAGTCTGCAAAAAAAATGCCACATAGAAGTCTGTTCCTTGTAGAAGGTTAACACCTCCAAATCAGAGATGTTCTGGAGAAACCTTTGAGCCACGGCAGTTCTGTGCATTGTGATCAAAGGACATTTTATTGGAACATCTTAGTTAGTTGGTAGAGTTCACAAAATTTCTTCTCTCATTCAAGAGATCATGCATATTTCTTTTTTCTCACTCTGTCTTGCAGACTAGTGTCATCCGTTCAAGCCATCATGGCCTCCTCTGCTGGGTATATCATCGCATCATCTTGTAAAGACATCATTGAAGACCAGTAAGTGTTAGATTAAGAGTAATGTTATTCTTCTGGCTCACTGGAATCATGGCCAAGCTATTGATTCAATTATTTATACTGCAATGTATTGAATTGCTTATTAATATATTATGATGTATGTCTAAATAGTGTTTGTGTGTTGGTCATGATTTGCTTATTAAATTATAATGATGCATGTCAAGATACCGCTAGTGTGTTTATCCTCTTTGAGAGCTAAGGTTTGTATCCATTTGATGACAACCACACGAGTAACAACAGCTATAATGTACAGCTTTAGTTAATGAAGAATAATTTTCTTTGATTTATTAAGTGTCTAGTTTCCCAAACCTGAAACTTACGAAGTACAGGGGGGTATGCACTTCAGTGTAAAGTTGTATATATGTGTGAGCTCTTCTAAGAATGTGCCTTTCCCTCTTAGCTCACCTTATGTCCCTGTAATCTAATTAGACTCTCAACCTAATTAGTTTTCCTCTGTAAATCCTCCTTGGCATTCTGATGGCCACAGCAGCGTGGTGGAGTGGAGCCGCCTGAGATTCAGACACTGCAGCGAAGTTCACTTTGTCATGGCTTTAGTCAGGGCTTGATTTGTCACTCAGCCATAATATGCACGTGTTCAGGTTCAGGTGAGAGATTGAAGCAGAAGAGAGGACAGGAGGAGCAGAGTTAGGAGGAGATTGGGGGCAGGGGTGGGAGAACGTTCTGGATGTGATTTTGGTAGTCAAAGTTTAGGAAAAGTAGAAACCATGGCTAGTTTGAATAGTGCAGCTCAGTTCTCATCTCCTGGGCTGTTGTGTGCTGGTGGTGTTTAGAAAGGTGTCAAGTACTGCAGAAGATTCCACACAGCAGCTCTTAGTGATTTTCTGCTGATGAAGTTTTATAATAATTACGGATGTCCTGATCCTTTTTTTATCTATTTTTCCCCAGATTCCAATTTTAGTTTTTAAACATTAAGCATTTGCTGATACTGAGTCTGATCTCTTTCATAGATAATAGAGCCACACAGTACATGTTGGGTATTATGGGCTTAGCAATATGACAGTATGTATCATTATTGTGATAAATTACATCTCGATATGTTACAAAGTGTTTTACTGAGCATGTTGTGAATATTGTCAGTACTCTTCACACTTCCCATCTGCATGTTTGATTATAAAGAGAGCATAATTATTCCTGTTTAATTAGATTTAGTGTAGCATGGTATAAAATGTTAAATACATGCCATAGTATTCATTGTCTTTGATAGTATATTTTAAATGTCACAATACTTTTTTGTTCCAACTTATCAGATGTCAGAAAAAATAAGTATCATGACATATCCCATATCATGAAAACGCTTTGAAGCATTGTGGTATTGCATTTTTGCCTTATTGCCCAGGTCGTGTCAAGTACATAAAAGTTAGTAAAATCAATCCAATTTAGGTAAGATGTACTAGTCTGCTAATTCCTTTAAAATGCTACATTGAAATCACTTCATTTTTAGTATGTGAATATTTTGACTCTCTGAACTGATATATATTTGTGTCCTCTTTTGAAATTAAAATAATGTTGACCTATTATCCAGTTTGATTTACAGTTCTGACAGTTTTAACTACCAGTAACATTCAAATACTGCCATAAAATCAGTTAAGATTTCATGTGTATGTAGTGTTATACTCTCCAAACTGATATCTTTTGGGTTTTTTTGGACTACCTGTTTGAAAGTTACTTTAACGTCCGTAAAGTAGGCTGTTTCTTTCGTTCTTGAATATGGTGTTGCTGTCAATGCTAGCTATGGCGAAAGCATTGCGTTTTTTACATTAGTTGCAAATGTAAATGTTGCGAGTGAATTTTCACCTTGTTTTAGATGCATGCTACTGAGAGCAAGTGGCAAACATAGACCTGAAGCAGCAATTAATTCACATTTTGCACACAGCTAGTTTAACAGTGTTTGTAAGAATGCTTGTAAGAAGAAGCTTCACAACAGTTAAAACGCTGGCTTTGCAGATATTACACATAGGGATGAGTTGATACAGGAACTGTGGGATGATGCAGAAATCTATTTTTTTTTTTATGTACATATCTGTCGATACCAATGCCAATACATAACAATACAACATTTATACAGTGTAGAAATGGGACTAGATCTACCTGGATCAGCATTACAGAGAATATTGTTTACAAATTTATTATTATTTTACAACAGTAAAATTAATAAAATGCAGTGAATAGCTTAAAAAATTAAAATATGCCTTGATTGATTATGATATCAGTCTGTCAGATTGGATCTTGACATCCTTAGAAATAATAGAGAAGAAAGACTACCTAAACCTCAAAAATGCAATCAGCTGTTTGATGGGTGTGGCTCTTCTCTTCTTCTGTTTTTCTCCTGCAGGCATTGGCTCACCAGCACCTACATCCTGTTTGCGGTCCCTTACTTTGTCTATGACATTTACGCCATGTTCATGTGCTACTGGTACAAGATGCAAGTCAAAGGTCACGAGGAAGAGGGTGCGGTCAAGCCTATGGGCGCAGCCATTGGCAGCTACCTGCGGCGTGAATTCCTCATGGTGCTACATCATGTTGTTATGGTTACCGTCTGCTTTCCAGTATCTGTGGTGAGTTGAAGATCTCATGTTTTACTGTGATGTAGGATAACAAGCAATGTACCACTTAGCAGGGCACAAAACAAAAGTCATATTTGATCCCTTTTCCTCTGTTTTTTTTATATAATTACATAGTATTTTCTGATAGTAATTTAAGTCAAGTAAGTACTTTAAATTATTCTCTGACTATTGTGAAACTAATATGTAAGTTGAAAAAATGAGTGAGGAACTGCACTGTGGGTTCACACATTGGTTGAAAACTGATCATAAAAGTATTTAATGCCCTTTAGAAGCTAGCTTTTATAAGGTACAGTTTCAAAGGCAGAGTAACTGCTTCAATGTAAAATATTTGTAGAGTAGCTTTATTGTGTCAGGATTATAAAGTCCCTGTGGTTTACTTCTACTTTTGAAGCGTCACTGCAGATTGCATGTGATGTGATCAGCAGATGATTGGCATGTGAACATGTCCCTAAAGGGCTTCTGTACCCTTACCCTGTCATTACACCTCCCCATCACTCTCTGTCTGTAACCATGGAGACGGTGGCTGTCAGCAGCGGTATGGCAACCAGCCATTAGTCGCACTCTTAGATGAGTGAGCGTGTATTAAGCAGATAAGACAGGAGCCCTAATGACACAGCCATGACAGCAACATGCCTCTTGTTTGTATGTCAAAGGAAAAAAATACTTTCTTTCTTTCCCCCATCCTTATCTCTCTTTTCCCACAGTTCTGGAGGCAGGGAAAGGGGGATTATTTCCAAGGTGTAATGTTCCTGGCTGAACTAAGCACTCCATCCGTTTGTCTGGGAAAAATACTCATTCAGGTAAACAACACTGTCTTCCCCATCTACCATTCACCACTTTGTCCATTACCCATTCACCTAGCCCATACTGCTTTATTCATAATTCATTCACCTACCTGAAATATTCTGCTTAATCCATCACCTGTTCACATACACAGTACTACTTATCCATCACCTGTTCACCTGTTATATACTGCTTTAATCATCACTTAATCACCTATCCCATAGTGCTTTTTTCATCTCCCATCAGCTACCATATTGCTTCATTCTCCACTCATTCCATAGAAGTAATGTTTTATTCATCACTCCTTCACCTACACAATACTGTTGTATCCATCACCCATTCATCTACCTCATAGTACTTCTTTCACCACTCATTCACATACTCAATTCTGCTTTACCTATAACTCCTTTAGCTATTGCATACTGCTTTATTTATCTTTCCTGGACCCACCTAATTCTTTATGCCTCATTCACTCATGTACTCGATACTGTTTGTTTCACAAATTACTGTTTTAGTAATCACCCATTCACTTATCTCAAATTACACTATCATCCATTCACCTGTCCCCATTCCTTTCTTTCTTTTTTTTCTTTCTCTTCTTTCTTTTTTCCTTATATTTCTCTCCTCATCTTTTTCATATACTAATTCAGTCCTCCATGAGCAAGCATACCTTCAGCTAATCTTGGCGACTGCAGTCTTTCTTAGCCTCTAGCTCTCTCTCTACTGTGAATTATGTAGAGCACTGCTTTGCTTCATTAGTTTAATCACTGTAGTGTTTCTGATCTTACTGATGTTGATTGATTGAAAGGGCTGAATTGTGCATAGCTGTCAGACGTCTTCTGTTTGTGTCCCTAATGACTGTTCATGCTGCCTCCAATGGCTTACTCACTCACTGGAAGAGGCAGCATAGTAGTACTGAATCACTCTATGCAGAACTAATAACTCGGATGCACTGCTTGGCCTCACGATTTTCTCTTTTCTCAAGCTTGTCTGTTACTCACCCCTCTCTCTTTTTTTCTCTTTCTCTTTTTTTCTATCTATCTCTCTCTCTTCCTTCTGTGCCTCAGTACAAGCAGCAGCACACTCTGCTTCATAAAGTCAATGGAGCTCTCATGCTGGTCACTTTCTTCGTCTGTCGAGTTCTTCTCTTCCCCTACCTCTACTACGCCTATGGCAGGTATGTTTGCTGTATTTCTCTCTCTCTCTCTCTCTCTCTCTCTCTCTCTCTCTCTCTCTCTCTCTCTCTCTCTGTGTCATACAATTTCTTTAGCATTGTTGGGCTGATATCTGGTGCAGGTGCTCCGCTCCATCATTGTGTTGGGTATGCTCACATTTCCATTGATAATGCATCTCAGCTAAGGATCATTTTTAGATCCTAAGATACAGAGCACTACTTCTCATGAGAAGGTCTGTCATCTTGCCCTTTGTCTTGTCTTAATTAAAATTTGTGAATGCAAAACTGAGAGCCAGTAGTTTTGGTCAAGAAAATCTGGCATTTGCTGTGTCAAAATTGACACATGCTTACCATAATCTTCAATTTGTGTGGCCTGAGCCCTATCAAGTGTATGAATTTGCAAGTGTGACAGAATGTATTGTTCTTGAATATGATGAATACGCTTTCATCATAGTGGTGCTCATATTTGTAGATATGTAATGCATGTTTAGCACTTTTTTTTGTCATGAATAAAAGTAGTACACCCATTCTGCATTCATACACTATACCAAAGGCCCCATTTACACTTGACTGTCCTGGATGATCCGATCTTAAGTGGGCAGCGCCAAGTACAGTTGTGAACCGAGTTTAACGTGTCTTGTGACATTATGATCTGATCACTTTGTCCAATTTTGGAGGTGGTCAGGGATGCTTGTAACCACATCATTTTTAGTGTGAATGCTAAAACGTACTGATGTGCCCTCAGTGCTACTGAAGGGCCTCTTTAATCATCTTGACTCCTGCAGTCATCTCCTGTCTTGTTTGTAACAGTCTGTATAATACAATACAAGGGCTCTCTTGAGACATTTTTGGCTGGCAACAAATATAGTGAGAGACACAGTAAATGTGCACAGTGCAAGAAGAATGTTAAAGTAATAGTTCACGAGGCTAACGTTGTTAACAAACACCAGAGCTCAATGAGCCCAAATTGTTTCTGTAATCACCAAAACATCTCTCAACCTGCTCAAACTGCATCCAGGTCTTCGTTAAGGTTGTGCAGACTTGCTCATGTGGTTTAGAGCACATTAAGACTTACAGTTAGCCTTTAATGTGATAATAATTGGTCAAAATAATAAATTTTCCTTTGAGAAAATTGATGGTGCTGCATCATCTTTTTCTTTTAGGCCTTAGATTTAGACGTGTTGCCCAAAATACTGAATTGGACTGCAGGATAACCAGTGTGTCTGCATTTGTGTTTGGCAGGTACGCGTCCATCCCTCTGTACATGGTGCCGCTATCCGTCCCCTGGCATTGTAACTTGGGGGCAGCTCTGCTCATGGCTCCGCAGGTCTACTGGTTCTCTCTGATCTGCAGGGGAGCTTTCCGCCTCTTCAGTGGGGCGTCCCGCCACCAGCGCCCCCCACTCGGCAGCACAAACTCTGACCCCAAAACCCCTATCCTGCCTCCCGCCAACGGCTACAGCCCCCGCGAGACAGAGAGAGAGCCCAGCTCACACTGAAAATGAGAGAGAACAGAAGATGGATGGAAAAGGGTTGTGAGTCTAACAGGGACTGTTTTGAGGCCTCACCCTAGAACTTGAGGGTTAATGCTAATATTATACAAGTAGTGGGTGTCCCACTGCTCCGTTGGGTTGGGTAGGGGTTAGGAGAAAAAGGTGAGAGTGAGAGAGAGAGAGAGAGAGAGAGATGGAAAGACTGAAGATGTGATTGTCTCCATCCTTTCTTTTTTCCTCTGCGGAAAAATTCCAGGAGCATGTTCCTAAAGCCTGCGTCATACTCTCGTCAAAGCAAAAACCGCTGATGCGGAGCGAAGTTCAGACCAAACACAGATTGTATTCTTCAAACTGAATATGAAATATTCCATGATTGAATTTCATACAGCTAGGGAGAGGGAGAATGTAGTATATTGTACAGCAGTGCTAGCCCATCATTTGTACATGACCATTACCATATTAACCACAAAAAAGGGGAAAAATGCAACAAAGGTTATTTCAGTATTCCAGTCTGTGGCCCTCCATTGTGAGAATGAAGAGTGAGGAAAGATGGAGGGATGGAGAGAGGGACCCATCTTTCCAGCTTCTGTCTCTTTGTGTAGCTTCATTCATTTCATTGTTTCATGGAGAGGACTGGAAAAAGGAACAGCTCTTCTGTCAGTCTGTACATAGCAGATGTAATTGGTGTCAATTTTTGAATAGTTTTTTTATTATTATTTAATTATTTATGTAGAATCAAATGTTATTTATTTTACCCTCCTTATTTATTAGTTTTTATTCTTTACTATGACTAGATTATTTTACATATAAGCTACTTTCTGCCTCTGATTTGCCACAATTGGAAGAAGAAAGATTTGAGAAGGAGCCTGGAGAGATGAGGTTGCTTGGTAGAGCACCCAGGGAAACTGTAGTGGTTCTCTGAATGTCTGTATCCAAGTAGTTTTTTCCAGACTTAAATGTAGGGCCTTAAACCCTAAAGTGTGCCAGTACTCAGACCCATGAGCATTCACCTTTATTAAAGGAATAGCTTGACCAAACATGCTAACAGGGCCAACTATGAACACTAGCTATTAGCCAACAGTTGGTAAGATATCCATCATGCTGTGGGTGAATGTTCACTTTCATTTATTATTAGTAGCATTAGCGTTTTTTGACTGAACTACTCTTTTAGGACACATTGGTGAGTACACTATGGAGCTTTTGTTACATTTTGCAGTGGCTAAATTCTGCAGATTGAATTGAAAGAACCAAGCAGATTGCTAAAGTCTCTTGACTCTGTAAAGGTGAGAATGCATTTGGTGTTGGAGTTGCTCTTTAACTTTTACACTAAATGTGTTAGTTTTCACGATCACTCAACCCATAAGCAGTATTATAAGGGAAATAGGAGATTTTCTCTTACCTTTACATTACATTTATTCATTTGGCAGATGCTTTTATCTGAAGCAACTTCCAAGTGAGACTGTTACATTTTCTGTGTTTCAGAAGCAGAAGACTCTTCTCTGCATCACTGAGCTGGTATCAGACAATACAATGCACTGAATAGTCTGAGAGGGCTTTTACTGGATCAAAGTCCCTTATTCCATAACCACTACAGTAGGTTTTTAATGAGACAATAGTTTTACTCCTCTTATTTATTAGAATGTTTTTTGTTTATTCCATTCACAAAGTAAATGTGCTCAATGGCGTCTATGTAGCTACGACAGCCACATGCTTAACATGTTAACTCTCACGGTACGATGAGTAGATAGTTGTAAACCAGAGCAGCACTGAGTCTAAGGGAACCAAAACTGAAATGGGGCCAGTATCCTGGAGCATGCTCAGTAGGGCAAAGCTGTAGACAGAGATTCTTTTAATAAGAGCGGGTGCAATCTCTCAGAGCTTTATAGAGCTCTTGGTCAGCTCCGTAAAACTTCAACTGCTCGTTTTAAACTGCTGGCTTCTTTTAAAATCACTGATTTTTTTAGTCTCAATTTAGTAAGAAAAATGGGAAGATTTTTAATCGGCTTTTTGCTTCAGGTATGCTTTGCAACACCCAGCTTAATATTCATCAAAGTGTCTTACTTATTATTAAGAGCAGATTTTTTGATTGTAAAAAAATTGGGTTGTATCTGTTGTCAGTTAGGAGCTAGGAAGCAAGTTCAGCCAATTCGGCCACTTGAGGCTTGTACTTTAATAGTTGCATAGAATGAATGACAAAAAAAATTAATTAATTAATTAAATGGCAAATATTTGTGTGGCAATTAATCTTCAGCTAAAATTTCATGATTGTGACAGGCCTATTAGCCTGTTAATCCCTGACATTGGTTTGCATAAAAGAAGGCTAATTCGAGACCCTTAGAAGAGACAAGATACATGGTTTTAAACATCGATTTTTGAAATTTAAATTATTTTAAATTTAATTATTTCCAAGGTGGCATTTTTGACAGTTGTTTCTTCAGCTTTGCAGTTTTTGCTGAAGAAAAGTGGTCAAATATAAACAGCTTTCTGTTTAATGTTATTGCAAAACAACAAAGAAAACATGCTTATTTATTTAAAATGTTTTGACGGGCAGTGTAGCTCTGTCTGAATTTTGCATTGTGCTGTGCCCTACTGAACGTGTCTCGAACTGTAGCAAAAGTGTTGATTTTAGGCCAATGACAAGGGACCCTCCAGAATGGGAAACACAAGTAGTGTTAAATGACTGGGAGATGGTGACCTCTGTACCCTCTTTGTTGTAATGATTATTTATTTATTTAAGTAATTTATGTATTTATTATTTATTTGGAGAGGACTGAATGTACATAATGAATCCATCCTGTAAATGTTCTGCTGAATGGGCATCTGTGGCTGTGGCTGCCTGGCCGAAGGCTCTACTGTAACTCTACTGTTCTCTCAGCTAAAATATACTCCGCTGTCTCCTCCTGTACTCAGACACCATGCGTGTGTGTGACCTCCTTTTGCTGACACAAAGGTACTTAGTTGTGTGTGTGTGTGTGTGTGTGTGTGTGTGTGTGTGTGTGTGTGTGTGTGTGTGTGTGTGTGTGTGTGTGTGTGTGTGAGTGAGAGAGAGAGAGAGAGATACTGATACTGATATGGATACACAGTCACATGAAAAATGAATGTAACCTTATTGTGTGTACATACCCATCTTGATAAATGCACTGACCTTGATGCATCCTAAAGCATTATTTAAGCATGTCCTTAGTACTGAGAACATAATAATGTTTCTAAAGAAATATCCATGTGGGGGAACGCTTACAGGCTGCAGCTCAGGGAGACATTCACAACATAAAGAAAAATATATTTATGTGGAAGAGTGTTAAAATACCCATAAAAGGGAGCTGATTTTTCAAAGGTTCTGCATAATTAAGTGGTTAAGATGTAAACAAAATCATTCAGAGTGGTTATTACATAAAATGGTTATGAATACTCAGCCTGATGCCTGAGACATTGTTTTACAGTTGTTTTGTAAAAAATGTCTAAAATGAATTTTGAACAATGTATTTTAAGCTATTCATGGTGGAGGGATACATGAAAGGTGTTCTAAGGCAACATAGAAAAAGAAAATAGATTTTCGCTATTTTACCATCAACATTACATATAAAAACTCAGAATACAGGTGTAGGTTCACTGGTGATTTTGGACAGTGAATAAAATAATTATATTTATGTTGTAAGTTGGCAAGTTTCTCTACCATGAATTGTTTTACACAAAACCCTTATGAATGTCTATATCTCAACCACTGAATTATGCAAACATTTTGAAAAATTGGTGGAATTCTCCTTTAAGGATGTAGCTGAGAAGGCAAATGTAGTGCAGCTTTATTGCTAACTAAGTTAACTACTCCAGCTGATGTTAGTTAGGTCTAGAAACAGTGGAAATGTCTTTCTCTGACAGTCTAACATAGCACATCATCAACTGAGGAGAAAAGACCTTGTGTAAGATGACCTCATCAGCATCCAGTGTTGTACCAGTTAGCTGTAGTTTTAGCTTCACATCTGAAGAGGCAGCCTCAGATACTCATCCAGCACGAAAATGACAATTTACATCTGCATGGTTTGAATAGTAAAACGTTTTCAAATGTGCTCCTCTGCTTGGTGCAATTTTTTTGTGCTACTGATTTTTTGGCCTAACAGCAGAGCTCTCACCTAAAAGAGTAAACCTCCAACCATACAGTACTTATGGCCAAACTTTTTTTACTGGTACTTTTTTTTTTTTTCTTTTTGCCATTTTTTCCTTACCTGTGGTAAACTGAATATCCCTTTATTAACTCTTGCAGATAATCAAATATCAAAATTACTCAGAATATGCATCCCCACTATATAGTCCATTTATGGAAACTAAGTTGCAAAAACAGCCTGTATTGAATTCATTGTTTTTGTGATGTCACCAAAACAGCCTGTAGTCAATTCGTTGTTTTTGTGATGTCACCAAAACAAACTGTATTGAATTCATTGTTTTTGTGATGTCACCAAAACAGCCTGTATTGAATTTGTTGTTTTTGTGATGTCACAAAAAGCAAATTTGCTTTGAAGATGAAGCTCTTTTGCTTTTGTTTTTTTTTATCCAGTTAGAAGCACTGAATCACAGTACGAAATGACACAGGTTTTTCTTTAATGGATTAAAAAAAACTCCTGCCTGCAGAATGACCTGATTTGTTTCTCAGATTAATTATCCCGTGATAATTAACTTGATAAGCCCACTGTCCATTTTAAAGGGGTGCTGTAAGTTGTGTATCCGTGATGGAACTATTCTAATGGATGTTGTCAGAAAACTTGTAGAGAGGAGAATTACGACTCTGTTATGTCTTCTGGGTTTCCCAAACGCTAGAGGGCGCTCCCGAGCGAGTCCAAAATGAATGGGTTAATAAGGAGCAAGGAGAAAAATCATAGTCTATAAATGTCTAAACATTTTTAATGTAAATGAACATATTCACATCCTGAACACAGAACAGCATAAAACATTTTTAAGACCTCATAAACTCGAGTTATAGGAGTTTAAGAAGGCGCCTCATGTACATTTATGATGTCTATGAGCGCGAACAGCCAATGAGCTGCTCCGCTCGCCAACCAATCAGCACTCGCTAGCGGTAATGCCAGCGTTCTGCTGCCCAAAACCCCTTTGCTGTAGAAAAAAGGGAAATATATAGGTGAGTTTTCTTTGCCTTTTTAGTGAAGTACATCTTTCTGATTTCTAAAGTTAAGTGAAAGTTGTGGGTGAGTGATTAGAAACTATTTTAACTTAGTTTTTAGCCGTTGAGCTTCATTTACTCCCATTCATTGAGGACTCGCTCGCGGGCGCCCTCTGCTGTTTAGCGGTCCTGTTTTTGATATAACGGAGGAAATAGGGAGTGGCCAGGCTCCTAAACCGGCTCTGGTATTGTCCGCTATGTAGCACTTTATTTTGAACCCATGCTCAAAGACGTTGTTTCAGTGCTTGCCGAGCGGACATCGTTATATCAGAGCGCTATCTGAAACGTTTTAAAACGCAACAGCCTGTTTTGCAGAAAAGGTTACACAAATTTATTCGAGGTATTTTTTTTTTATGAAGAGCAGCTGCGGCTTTCTGGAGAACTTAACGGTTATAAGTGGATGCATGCAAATTATTTAGAGAATAACCTACCTGTCAAAAAAGACATCCAGAAAATTATTTTGAGAAAATTATGTTGAGATTATCCTGAGAAAATGATCATGAGAAAGGTATCTCAAGGTAATTATCTCGACATACTTATAGAGGTCATTTTACTGGCTGGAGTTTTTTTTTTTTACTCATAGAAAAACCCAAATCATTTTTCCCCCAGGACCTTTCATTGACTTAGTATCACAAAGCATTATGCTTGTTTATTGATCTTTTCACGTGTGGATGAAAGTAAAAAGACTTCAGTCTACAGTGTCACATGCAGCTGCTGAATAGGTGAAATACAGTCAGTTTACAATATCAGTGTCAGCAGCTGCCATGACTTTCTTAATCAACTCACGCCTAATATGGAAATCCGGCTCATACAAAAATCTGAGTTTCCATAATTACCACAGAGTGGTGGCATTTATGTGCTCTCTTCGTTTTTGGAAGATAAAAAATAAAATATAAGAAAAATGTATGATGTGGGCCTGCAAAACTGTGCCTGTAGGGCAAAAAAAGAGATTAAAATAAGATTTGTGTCGTGCCTCATTTTAATCTCATTAAGGTTTTAGTTTAGGAGCTTTATGCTCTGCTTTGAGTGCACTAACCAGTTTACTAACCACAGACACTACACTGGCTCTGCCTCAAACCGGAGGCCTGGACGGCTCTTACACTGTTAAACGTGTTGGGTTCTAACGCACCTGAGTCAGTTCAGGAAGGACTTGACCAGCTTGTGGTAATGAGTGGAGATTAACTACAGTGTTGGGGCTGCCCAGGAATACAGTCTGACCCCGTGTCCACTAGAGAGCGCCAAACTCAGCGGAATGTGTGAGATGCTGCCCTCTGCTGGTTACCATTTGTACTACAAGCGTCACAAACCACCCAAGCCACTCTTTTGTACTGGATCTACATAAAGAGTAATGAGCTGGGCCCATTTTTATCCATCACAGGTAGGAATGCTGATCTGGGATCTGTCTGTGCATTTTATGTAACACTGAATTGAATTGAATTGAGTGAACTGATGAGACCTGATCTCAGATCAGCACTCTGACCCATGAATGTGGGCCCTGATCCTATATTGTTGCTGTCATATCAAAACCATGTAGCTGCTTTCAGCGAGGAAATATTTAAAGGGGAATTTCATCAATTTTGTAAAAATTTTGCAGAATTCAGTCGTTTTGATGCTAACAAAGAAATTAAAGGTGGTTTGATGTGAAATGGTGCATTTTAGAGAAATATACAGACTCAGGTTTCTTTGTGGTGGCGCTGATCGGAACAAGTGCCCGTCTTCACAAAGCTCCTGAAAGTAGGCGTGCTGATTTAGGATCAGATTGGTGTCTTATTTATGATGATCTTACTGACAGGAACAGATCCTAGATCAGCTCTCCTAATCTAAGATGCTTTGTGAATACCCCGAGCCCGGGGGTCACAACGTCTACAACACATATAAAGCCACTTTATATACTGTTAAAAATGACCAGTGAAATTACACATATCTTCTGAGTTTTTATATGTAATGTTGATGAAGGTAAAATAGTGATAAATCCGATTTTTTTTGTCTCAGGCCTGTTATACCTTACAATGCCCTGCATATATCAGTCCACAAAGAATGGATTTAAAACAATATGGTTTTCTCAAAAGAATAATATAAAACAATGTCTCAGACATCAGGCAGCATATGTGCAACCATTTCATGTAATGACTTTCTGTGAGCAAGCTTTTATAGACATTAAACACTTTGTCTGTTCATCTGGTTCCTATCACCACCCCTGTGAACAGTTCTGACTCAGAATGACCACTCAGAATGACTCTGTTTACATCTTAACCATTTAATTACACATTTCTTTTTAGATGGCAGAATTCCCCTACTTATATATCTAAAATAGCTTTATTAAATTAAAGAAATACAGAAAGAAAGAAAGAAAGAATTAGAAAAATTCTAATTGGATTTAGCAGTTTCCACTTGGAGATTTAGTCTACAATGCTTTTTGTACATGAATCTGAAGTTATTCTAATCAGTGTTGAAATGCAGTATTATACACAGATAAAAAGTACTAAAACAGTTTGACTTGTAACTCTACAGCAAACATTAAAAAACACTAAAGATGAAACATATCTGCTATAGATATCTACTAGACATCTACTTTTCACTGCTGGGTATTTATGGGCATAATGTTTCAAAATAAACATTAACTTAGAAAAGACAACAGATGTAATCTTGAGTTGTGTCTCGAAAAGCAACAAAGCACCGGCATCGTTCACCACTGACAGTTTTAAAAGAAAACTGACAGAGCGCTAAACAATTATCACTATGCTAAAGCCTGTAAGATGCTCAACATTAATGAAAACACATAGGTCAGGTTATGGTTTGTGGCCCACAGAGAAGAGCAAGGAAAACAAAACAGGCTTCATATCCAACAAAACAACAGTGGGGAGAAAAATCCTGTCTTTGCATCCAAGAGATACATACATATATATATATATATATATATATATATATATATATATATATATATATATATATATACGCGTTTCTTCTGTACATTTACATGCTGACAGGAAATAAACATGCTCTAAATAGTTATTTCAGTGTGACAGTTTCATTATAATGTAACTCTGTGAAGGAACTGTCAAAAACACACAGAGGTGTGAAGTGATTTGTATCTAAATTCCTTAACCACTTTTTTCTTTAAGCATATCTGTACTCTCAAAAAATGATAATTCTTCAAGGGTTCTTTACTGATGGTTCTATATAAAACCATGAACACTCAAAGATCCATTTACATGCTTAAAGGGTTCTTTGTATCATGAGGGTTCCTCTATTGTTACAATGTCAAGCTTAATAATAGAAGAACCCTTTTTGGTGCTATATAGAACCAGAAACACATTCTCCATCAATCTGAAGAACCATTTCACCATGCAAAGAACCGTTTAATCGTACAAATGGTTCTTTGAATGTTCATGGCTCTATATAGAACCATTTTCTTTACTAAAGAACCCTTAAAGAACCATCCCTTTTAAGAGTATACAGAATTTCATGTCCTTATGCTGTTTTTCAGGTTAAATCTTTGACTCGATTACACTGTGAATTGGGTTTTTTTTATTTAATTTAGTCTAAAACTACACTTTTACATGCCCAGCAGTATTATCTGTTATTACAGTTAGCATTGCTTGAGCAACATTTATGTAGAAAACATGATTTTAATACATGATTTTATTCATGGACAAAGCAGCACTCAGCACTCACACATCACTGGAAAAACAAAAACAACAGTGCACACTGCTGTGCAGACACTGAACTTTGAAACTGCTCGAGAAAAGAAATAAATCTTAAATATTACAAAACTGCTCTCCAGGCACTCATGTAAGCCTTCAGTTAAAAGGTCTTCATTCAGAAAGGCTCAGCCATAAAAACCGTAGGATTTGCCCAAGGCTTATTTTCCTTCTAAAACTCACAGACAGAGCTCTTAGTGCAAGTATCAACAGTCCATGGCAAAGAAATCCTTCTAAATCTGTCTTTCACAACTCCAGTGCTGCAGTCCACATGCACCTGTAGTCTAGTCACATCATTAGTTGATGGGTAAGAAACACTGTATTGGCTATCACGGTGGTTGTATTCGGAAAATGAATCATCTTAAAGTGTCCTAACCTCCAAAAAAAGGGAATACACTTATTATCAGTTACATATATATTTTAATGTCTATAAAGTCAATAAAACCACATAGTTAATGTTATGAAATCATGTGTGCAGTATTTCTGTAATGCTAGCAATAATGGATGACTATCTCTGTTTCTTTTCTACTTTCTAATAGGAGTGTAAATCTCTAACCTAAATAGGAGTGTAAATCTCTATTATCTTTATTAGGCCCCTCATATCTTTTCTTACCAACATACCTCACTAGTTAGCTTCTATCAGCACTACACAGACGGTCCTGACATAAATTTATTGCACTCTTATTCTTAATGCAACTCATTCATGGAATGGATACTTCAAAACCAGCATCATAATATGTTGTCATAAATAGTCTAAGTTTACATTTAGGTTAAGATTAGATGATAGTGGGTGGAGTTGCATTCATTGACAGCATTTTTTCTTTAAGATATCCCAATACTATGTAAACAAGCAAATTACACTGTCAATTTTTTGGCAGAGGGGCCCACTCATTTTTTTTGCACTGGAGCCCATAAGATCCTAGATACGCCACTGATTCAAAGCATCATGAGTCATCATTTGATTTTTTTTGGATGACAAAGTAATTTATCAAAAAACACGCTGCATACATAAACATGACTGGGGGAAGTTTTATTAACTACCTATATAAAAGGATGTTTTTTTACATGATACTGGAATATACACAATATAACCATACATCAAACTCCTCTCTTTTTTTAAAATAGTGAATAGAGAATTTTATTTTCGCCAAAAAAAAACATTATATTAAATAAATATAATTTATATTATTATATTTGATTATGAATGTATGATTGAAGTATTGAATATATTATTGAAATGAATATAACTGATTAGGAACATTGTGAGGTCGGTACAATTAAGAATTAGCTTTAGAAACTGAACAGACAAACATGAGTGGAGGAACTATTAATAAGAACTTTTTCTATAATATATATATATATATATATATATATATATATATATATATATATTATATAGGACCATATGCACAGTAGTGGAATGTATACAATTAAAACAATAATACACAAAGCTGGATTTAAAAACAAAAAAATCATTTATATTATTTAATGAATATTATCATGCGTCACCTTCGGTTAGGATCACCCCTACTGTAACTACTGTAACCCCTACTGTAAAATAAGTGAAGAATTTCACAGATCTTTCAAAAATTCTACATGATTCAATCACTGAGATGTAAACAAAGTCATTCAGAGTGTGTTGTAGAGAAACTAACTCAGATTTCTTTATAGTGGTGATGATAGGCTACAATGCAAATACAGCCATGAATGTTTTATATGTAATGTTGAAAATGGTAAAATAGTGCAAAATATGAAAAATGTTAGGGTACTATTTTACCTTAGAACGCCCTACATGAATTCTCTTCGCCATCAATGTATTTTTTAAAAATACATTTTAGCATCAGCTAACATATTTGTACCAATTCATGTTAAAAGTTTCTGTGAGGGAGCTTTTAGAGACATTAAACTCTTCAGATGTCTGTTTCCTTTCACCACCACTGTGAACAATTCTGACTCAATACTGTTTTGTAGAAGCAGCAGACTGTACATAATGCTAGCATTGACGTTAGAACAGACAGTAACAGCTCCAGTGTTGGGGAGTTGCACACAAAAATTGTCTATTACAAATTACTACTTCTCTTAAAATGTAATGAGATTACTTATGGTTTATTTATTTATCTACATTAGTCTGTAGCAAATTATATCACAATACTGGCAAATATTTTTTTTTTAGCTTTACTTCTAAAAAGAATCAAATGATCTGCCAGTATTAAATATATTAAATTCTAATAAATCTCAAAATGATAAATGTTAGATGTGTATACCATATTTAGGATTTCATATGCCATATCATTTTTTGTAGTACATCCAGTGGGTTCCTGTCTTTTGCCTGGGGTCCCAGAATCTCTAAATCCGCTCTGAATGACTTCACATATTAACGACTGAATTAGGCAGAAAAATTGGTATATGTCCCCTTTAACACTCCGTCTGATGGATGAGAATATTCTGTTCCCCCGAGTCTCAGGCAGGGGGCGCTGCGCACCGAGGCGCGTGTTTGGGTCTCGGGGCTACGGTCAGCCTCCGTCATATGGAGCCGGTCTGCGCCCACACCGCGATGGCTATGGGGCTAACGTCGAAAAAACCCTCCTCTAGAAACGTCGCCGTGGAGCGCAAGAACCTCATCACGGTGTGCAGGTTTGTGTTCTCTTTAAAACACAGCATGAGCTCCGGAGCGTCGCGGTGACCGTTAATGCATCACATCTCACCGTCTCAGCGGTTCGTTTGTGCTGCGGCTGCGCTCCGTAGACGTTCACTCAGGACGGCTGGATTTTATTTTGGTTTTTAATCCGGGAAACGTGGCTGTCAATGTGTGAACAATGGCTATGTACAGAAAGGGCCACCTGTCCGGATAAACGGCTCCGGTGAGGCGAGTTTGACTGAAGTTAGCCTGAAATAAGCCTCGGTAGCCGGACCTACCTGAGCTTCGGGCTACTGAGGGAATGTCCGTTAGCGTGTACACAAACGACGAGGCTGCTTGAGGCCAGAACGGAACTGCTGCACCATTTAAGGTGGAGCGGGGAGATTCTAAGCCGAATTCAGCCTCGTACATAAGTGGTGCTTGAGGAAACGGTGCGTCTGAAGGTTGAAGCTCAGCAGGAGCCTTTAGACTGTTCAGAAAAGCGCTACGCTTTTAAAAATAAAGGGCTAGTTTCCCCCTTCAGGTGCTCTCCTCCTCCTCCTTCTCCTTCTCCTGCTGTGCATCCTTCAGTCAGTGTAGAAGGACAGACTGACTGATCTCAGGCTGTGTCCTTTAAATGCTTCACTGTGTGAGATAATGTGATGCTCAGCGGTAACTCGGCCACAGTGACGAAGCTGAAGTTAGCTTCCTATTCCAGCCTGAGGCGCCTGAGTGTAACTGCTGCACCATTTAAGGCGGAACGGAAAACTGGAATAAGAAGCCAACTTCAGCCTCGTCCCCCTGCAGCCTGTGTGGAGCTGCTGCAGCTTGTCATGAGTTCACCGGGGCAGTAAAATACCTGTTTAGACAGGGAGACGGGTAATGAATGCACTGTTCTTGCTGTGTTCAGAAACAGAAACTAACCAGGCTTTTTGAGATGATGCTGGCGGAAACAGTGCAGCCTCAGCAACCATGGCGTCACTGCGTCCGTCTAGCGCCTCCCTGTGGCCGAGCGCAGTGTAGGAGACTGCGGATTAGCACAGGGACTTAGTGGTATGTGTGTGTGTGTGTGTGTGTGTGTGTACATACACACACACACACACTTAAAAATAAAGGTTCTTCAAGGATTCTTCAGAATGATGGAGAATGTGCTGTAGCCGGTTTTGAAAAGGGTTCTATATACGACCAAAAAGAGTTCTTCTATTGTTACGATGTCAGGCTTGTTACAATAGATTCTATATAGAACATCTACTGTACATTCTCCATTTAGTCATGTAAATATATATGTACACACACTATATATAATATACTTCTCTATATCGCTGGGGGAACATATATATAAATATAGATGACATACATAATATAGGGTACAAATATAGATGACAAGATGGCACACATACTCTTTTTGTTGATTTTAATTCTGTTTTTTAAAAACAGGTTACAAAGAAATCTATTCCAGTCACAGTTTTGTACCCATAGTGTCAGAATTTGAAGACTGTGTAGTTGGGCTGTTCAGAGATGCTTCTGCTATTTGAATTTCACTTTCAATGCTCACCAGACTGCTGATATTAGTATCAGTCACCTGTCTAGATTTTGGAACAAAGGTGCTTATTGGCCACTGATGCTAATAAAACTGACAGCTTACGGTATTATATTGAAATTTTATCGCATAACAAAACTTTCCAATATTCAGTGGTACTGTAGGTTAGAAGGCTTATACACTTGGACTAGCTCATTAGCTTTCTTAATTAATCAGTTTCTTTATATCATCATGTTCCACTTTCCTTCCTCTCAGGCATAGGAACACAGATAACTGAAGCTAACACAGCCAGATAGCAGACCTTAACTATAAAGCTAACAGGTAAATAGTAATTCTACATCATATATTTTTGTTGTGTATGTAAAATACTCATGTGTATTTCACAAAAAGCAGAAAATGTGATGTATTTGAATTAGTTTTAGGCTATTGTATGCTGTTATGCAAGATCATTTAAAGTGCATAGCTGGATGCAGTTCTATGCCCTGTGGAACACTATACTTACTCTATAAGTATGTGACATAAAGAACTAATATTACATCCATTTAGAGCAATTTTCATTTTTGTAGATGTAGCAGTAATAATCTGTGCTAGTACAGCTCAAAATGGGACAAGAGTGAAATAGACAAGCTTGTCCAGAAGAAGGGTGCGAGCGTGCCAGCTTGGCAACATTTTGGTTTCCAACCAAACAAACATAGAGAGCCAATGAATTTTATCAGTGTTAGATGCCATCTGTGCAGAATATAGCATAGCAATATTAAAAGCTAGCCAGACGGCAATTTTATGGTAATTATATGCAAGCTATAAGGAAAGACTCTGTACTTTGTAACTGAGTTAGGATCATGATTATATCAGTTATTGTGATAATTCTGCAGATCATAATTGTTTATCTAAATTTAAATTTTTTAGTCACAGGTAGCCGCAGCATCTTTTCCTCCATATACTGTTTCAGTAGACAAGGCCTTTGTATATGTAGGAGATTTGTACTCGTCTTTCTTGCGAAAATAGTGAAAGTAGAAGGCTAATTAAGTACAAGTGGGCTACGCCACCCAGACTTCCTGAAGGAAAATCTTTGATTTACAGAAATCACAGATGCATCTTGTGAGAAACAGAGGGAAAAACACAGTGACTGAAGTAATTTGAGACTTGTAAATGTTACTGCATTTACTGCAGATGTTCTCAGTACTCCCAGGGTCCCAGGTGGACCAAGCTGTAAAAAAAATGAAGCACTAATTAAGAAATGTGGGAGCATGCGAAGGAAAGCTGTTTTCAACTGTGAATGGGCAATTACTCCCGTCAAGCTCATTAATTTTATTTTAAATCTGTCAGCTTCTGAGAGCAGTGAGACTACATTTTAAGGTCAAGATGTGCATAAATAGAGATGGAGCGCATAAGCTAATGACCCATTTTGCTGAGTATGTATCTGAACGCTTATATGTCTTGACTGCTGAACAGGCTACTGATAAGGTTACCCAGCTGGCTGTATACGCCTACATATACAGTATGCATCTGTGTGTGTGTGTGCGTCCGTGTGTGTGCGTGTGCGTCCGTGTGTGTGTGTGTGTGTGTGTGTTTCAGCTTACTGTCTAGTGAATGGTGCTAACATAAGCGCTGGTGAGTCATGGCTGAATCGCTTGAAACACACAGAACAGTGAGTTCCATCACACAACAGCTGATGCATTGTGTATTTTACAGGCATGTGGACATTTCCATAGTTTATTAAAATTGTAGGTTTGTGCATTATGTTAAGTGGGCATTGCATATTTCAGAAGGACCCCATTGGTGGAGGTGTAGCTAGGCATGGACGCTGTATGGCCACTGCATGGACAGAGAACACTACCAGCTCTGAATGAACTGGGGTCTTATTGTCCAGGAGTCATGGAAGCTGCAGTCAAGGACATGATTGTTTTATGAGAGACAAACAATTTTGATATCTTTCACACTAATCCTCTCTCAGAATATGAATATAACATATAAAATGAACCCTGTTTTACTAATGATAAGTACTCAATCTTGGCATCTTTGAATATCTACACTCTAATAAAGTCCTAAGAGTTCTATAGAAGAATGCTGTAGAAAAAACACCTTAGGTTCTTGAAAGAACCTTTCAGTGGCTGGGAATAGATGGAATACTGCAAACTTTTTATAAGAACAGAAGACCCGTTGACCCAAAACACTTGGTCTGGGCGTCAATCCCAAAAAGAATCAGTTCTCTGATTCCAGGCATTTAGAAATTGAGAGTTGACTCCAAAGCTTTAGACTCGATTCCAAACGATGACGTTCAAGTTTGCTCACTCCTGCGCATGCTAGATAGTCTGCTGTCACTGTCTAGACAGCCTGTCTGAAAAATGCATCTTTCCACATCACATACATTAATATATCTGCTATATTTTACCTTTGACTAAGTGAACGACAAAATGAAATGAAAATTTTCAACAGATGTGGCACATGTTCAAACAGTATCTATGGTAAAAACAAAAGCCTCACAGGAACATTTGGCTTTGCTGAGCTTGCTGCAGTAGGATCCATGAATGCTTTTGATACTGATCTTGAGCGGCAAGCCAATAGGACATGTAGTAAATACACTCTGGTGACATTTTTCACTTGTGAAACTCAACACTGTGTCGCAGGAACATTCTGCTTTGTGGGCTGTGATCGAGACATCATTGCTTTACTAGTAATTTATCTGCTTTTATTCACATGACCTCACCCATTTCACAGGAATTGTACTCGGTCTCATACAGGTAAATTACCTTACTACGCTTATCGGCATTTCGATTCTCACTTGTTCAATTATTGTCAGTGGTAAACAGCTGTACACTACAGTTGCAATAAATAGAGATTGAAAAACACTGGAATACTCCTTTAAAGAACCATCCATGGAATGGGTCTTTAAGAAACTTAAGGTGGTTCTTATATGGCAAGGGTCCTCAAATCCAGCAGAGTTTGCTGATTTCCCTTCTCAAACACACCCACCAAACCTGGGAATTATCCAAAGTAATTAAACCAGGTGTGTTTGAGTCAGGAAAAAAATCAGCACACTGTGCTGGATTTAAGGAAACTTGCCATATAAGAATAGTGCCCTCTAGGACTGAATTTGAGGAACCCTGTTATATGGCATTGCACCAAAAAGTCATATTTGCACATTCTATTATTTTTTTTAAATGTTCATGTTGTTCATAGTTGTATCTTTTAATTTAATTCCCTGTGCAACTTCCAAACATCTGGAGAGGTTTGGTTGGTTCTGTGAACATGAGATTTTTTTAACAAAGAAAAGTAAAGACTAGGGCAGTAGACAAAGTCAGCAACTTTATTAAACATGCACCACAATCAGAACCATCACTTCCCAGAGTTGTAGCATCCAGGTGGCTGCAAAACGCTGGTAAAACACATAAAATGCTAACACAGCAAGAAGGAAAAAGATTTTCAAAAATGAACTTTGGTAAGCACAAAAAACATTTGTTGACAAGAACAGTGGCC